AACACCTACAGTTGGCAGTTTTCGAATTATTTTCATGAAATTTGGTGCATTGACTTTCGTCCAAAGATCAACGCTATACAAAATGGCTCGGATAGGACCACTCTCTCTATGTATGTATCCAATCCCCAAACAATGCCTTATTTTGATAGGCCGTTTTAAAAAAAAATATTACAAATTTTTAAAATTTCGCGAGAAAATTCACTCAATACTAGTACTTCGGCATTCTAGAATGGTGTGAAAACTATAGATCGAATAAGGTAAGAAATACTTTGAACTTCTTGGCATATAAACTTTGCCACCGGAAACTAAATCGTTATATGATATGAAGGCTAAATTCTCAATACTTGTTGATGAGAATTCGTTTAGAATAATAATTCGACATAGAAGTCAGCCTTATCCTCCTTAGCTCCTTATTTGTAGCTTGTAGGTCTATATCTGGAATCCCTATCCATATAAGGGTTTTGATGTAAACTAAGACCGTAATTACATGCCGCATTACGGTCTAACGAAAAATTTTACGTAATATGAAAAAGCCATCATTGCCCTAAAGGAGTCATTTCTCATAACCATGAGAAAAAGTTGCGTAGAAAATTTTGACTCTTTGACTTGAATCTTTAGATGGGAACTGATACGCTATTCAGTCACATTCAACTCTTGTGCGTTAACATTTGTTACGCTTGCGTATCGTTTTCAAGCGGTATTGCTTGCAACGCATCTTTTTCAAAATTTCTCTCTCGCCGCACTGGATGATCGTTGGCCTCCTTGCATCGAAATTATGTTTTACATGTCTCACGATCATTATCAGCTTAATAAGAGAGCAATTAATTATCATAAAGCTTGCCCTATACATCATGAGCGCAGACGACTAACGAGTAATGGTTTAGGAAAATCGATAAGGACTTAACTCTTACAACCTGGGATGATAAAAATTCAAGTATTTGCCTGAAGTGGCGGAATAGGTAAAGAGTCTCGATTAGCAACTCAATGATCGTGGGTTCAAATCTCAAGTGCAGTGGAGTTTCCAATAATGCCGAGAACCTTTACAGACGCTAGTGCTTTAAGACTTCGAGGTCTAGAAATTTATTCTCTGGCTAAATTAATAATAATTAAGCTTTGTTCCAAGACGACGCCTAGATACTCATCACCCGAACTAAATGGGTAATGAACATTTAATTATTGTAATTGTACGCGTACGAGTGTGTAGAAAGGATCCTTTCAAATGTAACTCGGGGCAGAAAAGGTCGGCTCTAATGATAAATGCTACCTTAATGAGTTCGAAATATTGGCTAATACGACTTTTAGTTGAGCGAATGACTTAAGTGCATGGCGGTAGAGAAAGAGAGAGAGATAGAGAGAGAGAGAGAAAGAGAGAGATAGATAGAGAGAGAGAGAGAGAGAGAGAGATAGAGAGAGATAGAGAGAGACTATTAAATTTGTTGTTTACAAATTGTTGATGCAAAAAGTTTTATGATTTACACGTCCATCAGCGCTTGTTGCAATACTGTGCCGCTACATGTCATCTTCTGCGTCATTGTTAGCGACAAAGAAGCATAGGCGAATCAACAAATGTGACAAATTCAATTCAGGCTTTCAGATTGATCGAGATTGCTTATATAATTATGGAATTTCAATATTACTTCGACTTTATGGTTCGATGAGCATGTGTGCGCGTATGACGTACAAGACATGCAGACATAGCAGAATGGTGTCGAATTTTGTCGAACACCTATAAGGTTATTGTTGTTGTTGTCGTTGTTGTTGTTGTTGCGTTAACTTCGCTATCGATTTTTGCGTCCGTGTCCAAAGTTTTGTCATTTCGGTTCTATTGTTTATTTTGATGACATTTGTCCCATTTTGTTGTTGTTTTCTTTTTTTTTTTCCATTTAACCTCAATATATATAAAATCAAGGTTTTAATATTACGGCTGTTCCTTAATATTTAGTTTGCTCGTAATCACTTCCTTCGACGGCGTACACGTAGGCTGACATATGCTTTCGTGTATACATGCGTGTAGAGTTACTTACCATTTTATTTATCTGTATACATCTAAGTGTATGTGCATGTGAATGTGTATATATTTAAGTGTATGAGTAAACGCTGGGTTAACGATATGTGTGCGGCAAATTGACAGTTTACTGATTGCAATCACGTTTAGGCGCAGTTATCAGTTGATTTTCTTTTAGTCAATTCCTTTTTCGTGCTTTTCTGCTTTTTCTGAAGTTTGAATTTGTGTTTAAGTTTATTTTATTTAAACATTTTAATAATAAGTAAATATAAAAAGTTTTTTTTTTTCTCTTTTTTTTTTTTTTTTTTTTTGAAAAACTTTATACAGTGAGTGGTCTTCTGTTCGATAAATTCTAAAAAATCAATTTCTCCTAAAGCGTAATGAACTTTACACAGTTTTTAAACGATTGCTACCAAACGTGGGGAAACAATGAAAATTTCATAACTCACGACAACAATGTGCCAAACGCAGCAATTCTTATGGGTGCAAGGAAGCGCTTGATAAACGGTTGGAAAGCGTCAAATATATTATGCTGTACTGATGATAGCATTTTTCTTAAATTTTCGCGCTAAGAAATATGATCGACTCAGGCCTATGCTGTTAACCGTATGAGTGCAAGTCAGGGCCCTCGATAGATATCCAAAGATATTGAATATTGAACGCTTCAGCAACGTGTTTTTAAACCTAAGAAATATTATCGATTTCGATCTCTGCATACCTATGGAAGGTCATTAGGAAGCTCCTCACAACAGCACTTTGTGGACACTTGTCGTTAATAGTTTTACCCTCAAGGAGATTCATGCGTTCAGCACAGATTTGAAAAGGCGATCTTTGGCCATCGTACAGTCATAAGGAAAACACTCCAGAGCTCTTTATAAGTCAGCGAATGTCTTAGTCATTTAACTGTTATTGGCTCGCACGACCAAACACTACGTACAAGCATATGGTGTGAGAGTTTTAGATCGTTTATGAGGACGTTTTTTAAAGCATGCGTGGCCTTTTTCTTTAAATGGTCTCTATAACGGCGTAGCATTTTCCCTTTCATCCGCAAATGTCTTCTTTCACCGACAGACTGATGGCTGAAATTTTTTAATTAAAAAATTTATTATTGAACGCGCTGTTATGATGATGAAAAGACATGAATATAAACATAATACTTTATATGTAAAAGGCGCCAGATTAATAACAAAAGAAGAAGATTAAAAAATACAGGAAAGTTTTTGTAGTGCAGTTGTTGCGATTGGCGTTTACATCACTACGAAATCGCCGGTTGAACGCTGTTCAACGCGAGCAGCAACTGCAGCGAGTTGGAGGAATGGAAGTCAATCGGTGGACGGTTAGAAGAAGACTAGCCAGGAGCAGACCTGACCGTGCACACTCCAGAATCTTAGCCGAAATTGTCCCCAAAATTGTCCAATAAACACGCCCTCAATTTGCTCGACAACATGATAATTGGACCAATTGGATGATTGGATCAATTTAAGGTAATAACGTTCTCTCGCAAGTGCAGGATGTGTCTTCATCGTAACTACGGACGGACAAGAGTCTACGTAAGAGTCCGGTAAGCGTTTCGCACAATACTGCAGCTGCGAACATGTCTCATATATGGCGGTCGTTCGAGTATGTTATTGGAAGCGAACACCGAACTTGTATTCATCCGATTGACTTTTTGATGCTACATCGAAGAAATCCAGGAAAAGCACGCATTTATCGACGAAAATTTCCTTTTCATGCATGAAACTCTTGCAAAACCACCTACCGCTGTTGTAGTGCGTCAGTTAGAGGGCTGATGTACCGTTGCCTGTTATTTAATAGCTATTTAGAGCCGAAGTGAAATTGTAAAGAGTGAGCGATTTTTTGCTCTCCAGTGTAATACAAGAGCACTTTATGTGGCCAACATTTGCATTCAGTTGTTAAGATTGAGCCCTGTTTATAACCGGGTTTATGCAAACACGTACACGTGCATATATAATAAATGAATCACTAAATAATTCAACAAATTATTACTATATTCTTGTTTATGTTACTTACTTCATTTATTTATTGTTTGTTTTTTTTCTGCAAACTACAAATACACTATTTGTATGCAATCTTTATGGAACTCGGGCGGTTTATTTACCGAATTTGTGGAACTCGGGCGGTTAGTTTACCGTATATAAAAAGATGTCAGCCATCTTTAGCATTCAATGACGTAATTTGTACAACAATAAAGTAAAAAAGCTTCTATCTATGTGACTTGCATCAAAATCTTAATATTCTTTATTAAATATAGCTGAAATATGTACTTAATGGATATCCGGTACACGAATCTTGAGGTGGTTGTATAGATGAACGCTTGCTTTGCTTTTAATTTAAAACAACTTTATCGACGATACATCAAATGAAAGCTCGCCACTAAACGTTAGCTTTTTTTCCCATTTTTTCTTTTCTTTTTTCGTACACTTAACAAAATACATTTACGAAACATCATCATACATTCTCGCAACCTTCTACTCAGCTCCACCTAGAGAGTTGAAAGAGAATGAATGAATTTGTTGTGGTATAAGAAAAGTAGACTCTTTGTCTACTATATAATATATATAAAATTTTATATAAATACATTTTATATATGATATTAATGATTCCCTTTCATTCACATTCGGCATGGAAGAAGTTACATAATAAACCAATTAACATCTTTTAAAGAACGCTTTTCAAATTCAAATTAAATGACTTCGCTTGTATTCTGCCATCTCTAGGTTGATGGCGGAAAATATTATTTGCCATCCCTGTTAACAGAAATGACTTAGATTACAGAAAGAACATAATACTAACGTAATGGTAATTGCAAAGCCGTCGGCAAAAGTCTCCAATTTCTTTTATGATATTTTAACGTCTCTGTGTTTTCGAGTTACCACTACAGTCTAAAGCTATCTATATAAAAGTTTAAAGATAGCAAACTTTTATAAATGGCACTCACTTAACTTTTCTCTTGGTAGCTCTATACATTTATATACATTTATCTGTACATTTGTGTAACAACTAATCTGCTGTTATTGAAGTTAAATAAGAAAAATCGACGGTCTTGTCTGATACTTGTATATATTAAAATATATCAAAATTTTAGTACAATTTTATTCGAAATGGCAGAAATAACAGGCCGTGCCTTACATTATGTTTTCAAAATTGGAAACCGATCACAAAACTCACATTTCTTTAGAAATATATTGGGCATGAAGGTAATAAGTCTCAGATGACTCAGCTTATATGTTTACTATTCAACCTATAATTAAAAATACCTGTTCTTTTGTCATTGTGCAATTGTTAGTAATGTTTTTATCTTTCATTGCTTATAGGTTTTGCGACATGAGGAATTCAAGGAAGGCTGTGAAGCTACATGCAATGGGTGGGTAACAAATATTTTTAGATTCAATATAATTGAGGATATTTGGGAACCTTCATTTTCAGGCCGTATGATAATCGATGGAGTAAAACTATGATAGGCTATGGCCCAGAAAGTTCTCATTTTGTTTTTGAATTAACATATAACTACGGCATTGCCAGCTACGAAATGGGCAATGAGTTTGGCGGTATTACTTTAAAATCTCAAGAATCCATTAATCGTGCTATAAAATATAATTATCCGATAAATGACGCCGAAAATGATCGAAAACTTTTATTGTCTCCGGACGGCTATAAATTCTACATAATACCTGAATCTGAGCCTAAAAATTCCGATCCAGTGGTGGAAGTTAATGTTCATTCCAGTGATATAATTGCATCGAAAAATTTTTGGATAAATTTACTAAAAATGAATTTAATTTCGCAAGAAAACAAATCCATATTGCTTAAGTATAAGGAGTCGCACCCTGGCCTTCGAATCACCGAAATACCGGAAACAATTAATCGTGCCAAGGCTTATGGTCGTATCGCATTTGCGGTACCTAAAGCACAACAACAAGGTATTAGTGATATGATAACCGAAGCTAAAGGTACCATATTAACGCCCTTAATTGAGCTGGATACACCCGGCAAAGAAACCGTACGGGTTATAATACTAGCTGATCCCGATGGTTTTGAGATATGCTTTGTAGATGAAGAAGGATTCACTAAATTATCTGCAGTGGAAGAAGATGCTGAAAAAAATTTAGATAAATATATTAAAAAAGATCCATTTGAAAATGCAAGCGATAAGGCAGAGCAAAAGGACAAAGAAGCCGAAGTCAAATAGGGAACTAGCGGGAAAAACTAATTCAGTATTTTTGAATAAAGTCCATTTGTACAATATTTTCTTCAAAATAAAATTTATATATTTGCAGGAGTGAGAAAGTCTTGGTGTTACGTTGAATGTTGCATTTGTTAGTTGTAGTGCTGTGATTACGATGGTATTTCAATTCCTGTCCACGGCGAGTTTTATTCATTATGAATATGGAGAAAAAGTGAAAATGCCTTTGTGGAAAGGACACATCCATATATATATATATATATATATATTGCAAGTAAAATGCGTATCCTCCTTATATGCAATGTGGACATGTATTACTATTTATTTACAGAACAGTTTACATATATCTGCTTATGATTATTCAATTGATCCTTGATTTGAAAGAAATCGACTGCTTTTCTCGACTCTCGCAGACGTTCGGTTCGTTTATCAATTAGGCTTTTAAAGTGTAGATATCCTCGTGTATAAAAGGCATATTGATTTCAGCTATCTACGTGTGTACATATAATCGCACATATATAAAGTTTTGCTATATATGTCCATTAAGATGTTTAATTAATTTGCGTTAATAGTAGAGTCCATTTCGTTAATTGCTTACGCCATACGCACACAGGATCTCACGTATTTGGTGTAATTTAATTGAAAGTTTCATGTTAAATTAAACCTTTGGCTCGAATCTACAAAAGGAAATGTATTAATGCACTTTCCTTAACGTAGCTAACTAATACACTTATTATAGTGAACAAATCGGAGAATTGTAGACGCATTGAAGTGCAATCAAAGTATATATATACATTTCGGAATCAAAAATATATATACATTTTATTAGCGCACGCAACTTGGCAACTGATCTTTCAATAGCTTAGCTATCATGATGAGGTCGGGTTCTTCATTTTATTAACTGAAAATACATTTTTTTTTTTCAAATTTTTTTTTGCAAATTTTCAGTTTATTTTATTGTGAGAAGATTAAATAGATTGTTAAGAGTGATCTGTCAAACTGAGTCGGGAATGCATGTGCTCGGCGTTTGCTACTTTTACGGCTACGATAATAGACGAAAGCGTAAACTGCATGCATGGTTCGATACTAATCAAAAGTATATCTACCTTTGGCAGGTCGCGCATTGCTAATAATTTTTGAATCATAAACGAAATTCTCCTAAAATTGTTCGTTGTAATAATAGTTTTCAAACCGTTTCCAGCGGGTGACCGATCCGACCCCTATTAAATACAACAAGCTAATAAGATAATAAAAAATATTGCTTTTACTCTAATCTATTTATCGATCTAATAAGAGGTCGGCAAATACGGAGCTGCCTAATGAAGAATTAATTAAACGGATTCCCAGCAAGTCGAAGATCGTCTACTTACATTTCATTAATGTAATTCGCATTTATAAAGATTGGTACTTGCTATCAGTATCCGTTATGTTAAATAGCGCGCAGTTATGTTTTTGCAAATATATGCAAGGCCTAGGTGAACATACGTGAAATCTGCTCTTTTATTACACCGATCGATGCAAAAATAATTCATCTAATGCCTTTGTCGGTTTATTAATTGTCCAATTACTTTTTATGTACAGTACGGACTTTGTGGAGAATGGACTACACGGGGCCACTGTTGCCATAATTCATTTAATAAGCCCTTGCCTTGAAATGCTACTGATTTTTTTAAGTTTCGATCAAACTAGTTCACATTCTGGGTCCCTTTTGCTGTAAGGGTGCCCACTAAAAGTATTCCTGTACATGAAAAGAGATTATCACTTGTCCTCTTTTATCACCAATATAAATAAACTAATGTATCAGGTGTTGCCGGCCTTGCACGATTACAATCTATTTAGTTATTTATTAGAATGCATCGAAACTTGTGAATGCAATGAAAAAGTATTATACCTCCTTCACAAGAAGGTGGTGGTGAGTAAAAAGAATTCGTGTGGTAGAGCAAAAGGTGAAAAAAGTTTAAAAACATTGATTTTATTATCTCTGTCTTTTCGTGTCTTTGTCGTCTACTTATTATAAAACAAAGGTCATCAAAAAAAAAAAACGTTCTCTCTACTAATAACAACAGAAAACCAAATAAGAAAAGATACAAAAGAAAAATTTATCTTCTTTGAGTAATTGAGAGAAAGAAGATTGACTGAGCGTATTTGTAGTGCAATTATGCTCTCTTTTACACTGCGTTCTTATAGAGAGAACTCATGTACATTAGAGAGAAGTAATATACTGGTTCACTCACAAATTGCTTAAATATTTTTAAAACTCTTTCTCTCAGCGTATCCGAACGATCGCTTGCAAAGCTGAACATGTTCAACGAAGCAATGGCGTTTAAATAATTGTGTTAGTATGAGTTATTTGCTTCGATTGAAAAGTTGAGATCTCAAAGATACGGCAATTGAGTAGCATCTGTTGCTTATAATTGTGATTAAAGTGCTATTAAAAAAAAAAAATAAAAATAATAATAATAATAATAAAAAAAAAGAAATAGTAAAATCGGTTTTTCTTCTAATAATAAAAAAAAAAAAAAAAAAAAAAAAAAAAAAAACTAAAATTTCATTTGAAAAATTGAATGCTATGCATTGAAAAAGAAACTTTAAAATAGTATTAAGAGTATATCTTAATTCTTGCACAGGTGCATAACGTGTTAGTGATTGCGGTTACCTTTCGAACTTAAACAAATGCTTTTTTATCTAAATTTTTAATCGTTAGTATGCGCTTTCGTTTGCACCAATGAGTTCAGAAAAAGGTGAAAATGTACGTGTCGTTATAAGTTATACTTAATAATACGAGGTAAACGAACCGGAACATTAAAAAAAAAAAAAAAAACAAAAAAATCGACCAATTTCAACACAAGTTTTTACGATAAGAATAAATATTTCAAAATACAAAAGCAATTCCTCCAATTAACACAGATGTGTACACCCAACACACAACAGTTTTTGTATATATATACATGTATAAATAAAAAAAAATAAAAATAAAAAAATTCTATAATAAAATAAGTTTCATTCGCATACATTTCCATAAATAATAAATCAATATCATTCATTCATTGATTGATGTATTGATAAATAAGGTATGAATGATTTAAATTTCTCCGTTGTACTCCGTGTACATATCACGTACATAAGTGTGCGTTCTTTGTAGTCTTGATTGGTACCAAATTTCACTTTCATTTTTGTATAACTTTTTCATATACACACACACACACACACGCAAACATACACACGTATATATAAATATATACATAGTTATTTATCATTTATCGAATTGTGTAATATTACTTCATCATCTGACAGTAATTCAATATTATCATCATCATCATCATCATCAACAGAACAACAGTGAAAACGTAAAATTGCAATTTTGTTGCTATCGTGTATTGTCATCTATGCGGTTGACTGGAAGGTAAGTCAATTGTGAACATGGATTATTAATTTATACAGTCATTTATTATATTTATCACATACTTATTTATAAGTAAAATTTAACGCCCTGAATAATAGTTATTCATCTACGTGTCGATTGTAGAGCAATAAAAAGGTTTTTAATTTAAATAAAAAAAAAAAAAATGTGCTGCTAAGATATTAAGCGAAAGATAAATAGGTCAATACTCGTCCATAAACACGTACAATAGATACAATGGGCACAACGAAACGAGGCAATTTGAAAATTTTTATTTAAAAATATTTCTGAAAATGTGATGATGAAAAATGATCTCAATCGACTATCGATCGCTTACAATTGATTAAAAAGTTGCTTCTTCTCTGCACATTGCCGCGGAACATGGTGTTAGATTATCGGCTATGTTAGTTTAATTGTTAAGCGTCAACAAGAGTTCCAGATACCAGTGAACGCACCGAAATTATAGGGAGGAATAACTGGTAGTAACTCTTGGAGTTTTTCTTTATTTCACTTTTCGTGTAGAGAAGAGATGAATACAGTTTAGATGCACGTTAAGACGTCGCATTCGTGGAGGGGAACATATGACGATGAAAAATGAATACTCTTCGGTGATATAAATGCATTTTTGTAAACCACTCAAATGGGTGTGGCCAAAATGCATCAGATATACATTCTAAATGCATGCAAATACGTTTCGCGGGGATCCATATAATTGTTAAGTCAAGCAAAAAAAAAAAAAACTTAATCTATTCGAGGCTGCAGTTGTTATTGCTCGTAGAGACGAACCTGAAATATGATTCAATATCTCAAAGTCTGAAAGAACTCTTCCGAGTAATTTGGCAATATTAAACACTATATACATATAATTGATCGGGGTGGGATTTTCGGTCAATTTAGCTACGTTCCCGTATTTTGCTAATGAAATTTGATGAAGTTTTGAAAAGCTGATCGCACCCGTCGCACAAGATCCTTTCGGTAAGAAAGGATCTTTCTAGAGCTCTTTACAACAATGATTCCCTCATGCCCTTGATTAGTAAGACAGTAAGAGACTTTCATTTATTTATGCAATGTGATGTCCTTTTGCTCAGGGAAATGTAGTTTATTCATTTGTAATAACCCATAAGGCATACTTTGTGTTTGAAGATTCAAATAAAGTTAAATCACTTAAGGCAATAGTAAGCAATTAGAGACTTGTAACTTTCTTGCGTGACTTGGACCTGGTTTTTAAGTTTCAGGCTTTTAATCACAAGAGTACGAATCAATATTTGCGATGAGGAAATTGAAAAGCTTTTCAATTGCAATACTCTCTAATACTATAGTTCGAGCGATCGAACTGAGATCGATATGAAACGGTTTCATTCATATCTTTGTAATTATCTCCCCGTTGTCGATAGCTGCAGAACTTAGTTTAATTTCACGCGGGAATATTATGAACCAAAGCAAAGAAATTTGCCCCATTTGCTTATATATGTTGTTGGACTTTGCTTTGTAATAAAATAATTTTAATTTTGTGTCACATGTTTTTGACTGTATCGTCATTTAAGATGATGAGAACGATGAGTGATCCAGGGTACGCTTTAACGTGAGTACAATCTTATTCTTACTTACTTGCTCTACTTGTATTGCTTCTACACTCTGCATGTTTTCATAATGTCACGTAACTTCATCAACTATATACGTGCCTAAATCAATTTCCGGTGCCTGTTTTTGATAGATTAAATTGTTCTTCTTTTCCTTCTGCTTTTTCGTCTTTTTCATATTAAGCAAAAGCACACATGTGCATCTAAGATTACGATTTGGCTTAAGATTACGATTTAAGACTAAGGCAGTTGCTATATTTGTTCGGAATCGGACATCTTATAAAGTATATAATTTTAATCAGAAATAATCGAACTATATCTGTTCAAAATTGGTTAATCACAATTGAAATGAATGAATGAATTTGTCTGTCCGTAGTTCATTGTTGAAATTTATGTTAATTATATAAAAAGGATACACTATTTCACAATTTTAATTTTCCTTGTATTAGTTTTTTCGATTACGCAAAACGTGCTATTATCTATGCTTCGAAGATGCAAATGTTTACAAATTATTCCCGAAAAGATATGATTTTTATCGAGTGACGCGGTTTGCTTTCTTCTTCTAGTAACATTCGATTTACACTTTAAATGATTATATGAATTTCGATACATGTATATATATATGTATATATGTTAGTTTTCCGTAAACAATGAAACATAATAATAATAATCATAGCTTGTGGCACATGTTTCACGTTATTAAAAATGACATACATATATAACGATTACCACCTACAAGTTATCGTCAAGTTACTTGAAAATGGAGAATGCAAATGCATGCGGTGTATGTATATCGTAGATACGAAACGATATATACGATACGATGTGTAATAAGTGAATGGATCTTCACTTTATCATGCAGTTAAATATCTTCAATACATGCAAGCGTGTAATAATGAAGACACTAACTATTCACTTTTATGAGTTGCACTCTTGGGTTGTGGTGCATTATGAATAATTATTCAAGTTAGGGTCTCCTCTGCTGACGGTTGCTCGGACGGCATTATATTGCCCACATTATCAATTTGTTTTTTTTTTTTTGCTTTTATACTCATTAACAAAGGATGCGGGGTTATATTTATTTTGTCAAAACGTTTGCAACACTCAGAAAGATTAGTGTGAAACTTCGAATCAGATGTAAGCATATCCGTCTGTCCGTTTGTGTCGTGGCTGTTGTAAGCATTCTCCTGGGTGCAAGCGTAAAGCTATCGATTTTAAATTTTCTAGAATCATTGAATGTTCTTGCACGCAAATCGGTATTGAAGATGGGCCAAATCGGTCGAAGGATACGCTATATAAACTGGAGACACCTTTTGGTTTTCCGCCCCTTTACCCATAAACTACAGGAGATACAAAACCGTGCCATAATTTAATATTAATTAAAAAAAAAAAAAAAAAAAAAAGAATTAACAAAATCGGCCGAACCTACTCGATTTTATAGCTTGCCTTAATTTTATTTTTTTTTTTTTTTTTTTTTTTTTTTTTTGCTACCTTTATAACGCGCAGAAGCATTAATCACCTAAAGTATATAAATTCTTGGCTAGTTTCAAAAGCAAGATATAGTATCTGAGGTACACATTCTCCCGTTCCATTTGGCTATTGCAAAACAGAAAAAATATCGTCCGCGCCCTCTCAATATCATAGAGTATGAAAACTTAGTTCTTTTCATTTTTGTTAAGGCGGACGGTGTTGGGTAGAAAAGATTCGGTCACGCTTCACGTATAATTTTCTTATTTGCTTTTTTTTCCATCTTTTTTCTTATCGTATACAACATATATATGTATGCATGTATGTATGTATAAAACAATATGTGCCTGTAACATACATAAGTATTGGTTCATTGGGCATTTCTTAGGAAAGTATGTACCGTACCTGTGCAATTACATGAATTTAATTATCTTTCAAATTTGTGACTAAATTAACCTGAGTGAGGCGAGTAGGGAAGAAATGACAAAATTAAAAAAATTAATAAATAAATAAATCAAAGAAAACCTGTTAAGCAAAAAGCGATCTTAACAAAAAAAAAAAAAAAAAAAATGTATTTACTTAACAAAATTGCTGCTGGAATAATTGTAAGGTTAGGCATAATAATTTATCCTTTCCAAATGTGAATGTATTAGAATTTTTCAATAAAATAAGAATAAATATAAATAAATTTTCGCATACATTAAAGCAATTTGAATGTGTCGAGTCAGTGTATGTTCGTGTGATTGTACGTTTTGCTGTTTTATGGGTTTTTCA